TGTCACAGGTGAACATTTGGGTCATTGTATGTGACTCTTACATACAGAAGTGCTTTGAAGAGTCACATACAAGTGTTTGTTTGTGTGTATGCTTTTAATCACTTTGGGAAATATTTATAAGATGGCTGGATCATGTGGTAAAAGTTTGTTTGACTTTTTAAGAAATTACCATATTTTCCAAAGAGGTTGGTCTGTCTGAAGTTCAAAACCAGCAACGCATGAGACGTCTGACTGCTCCACATTCTTGCCGGATACAGGCAATTTTAAAATATCATGCACTCTGGTAAGGGTTGGTGGGATTTCACAGTGGCTTTCAGTTGCGTTTTCCTTATGACCAACGTTGATCACCTTTTCATGCAGTCATTGGTATTCATGTCGCATTTGGTGGAGTACCTGTTCAAATGTTCCACCCATTTTAAAAGTCAACTTTTTCTTATTAATGAGTTTTTGAGAGTTCTTTTCATATTCTTGATCAAAATCCTCTATCAGACATGTGTTTGTAAATACTGTGCCCGGGTCTGTGGCTGGCTGTCATTCTCTGTAGTGATGTCTTTCGATAAGTACAAGTTTTACACTTTGATGATCGTCAGTTTATCAGGTATTTTTTAAAAAATGGATTATACAATGCTGTTATATCCAAGATATCACTGCCTGAGCTAAAGTCATTTTCTTCTCAAAGCTTTATGTTTTATGTTTAGATCTCTGATGCATTTTTGGAGCAAAGTGTGAATTGAAATTCTTTTTGCAAATGAATACCCAACTGTTCCAGCATCATTTATTAAAAAAATTCTCCTTTAGTCTATAAATTACCTTTGCATGTTTCTGGATTCTCTATTCTCTGTTCTGTTCCACTAATCTTAACGCCAGTGCCACATTGTCTTCATCACCGGATTCTCTATTCTCTGTTCTGTTCCACTAATCTTAACGCCAGTGCCACATTGTCTTCATCACCGTAACTTTACAAGTCTTGGGATCAGGAAGTGTTAGTTTTCCGATTCCATTCTTCATTTTCAAAGTTATTTTAGCTATTCTAGATTTTTTGCCTTCCTATGGGAATTTTAGATCAATTTCTCTATTTCTTTAAAAAAATTCCTGCTGAAAATTTGATTTGGGCTAAGATGAATCTATCAAATTCAAGAAGAAATGACATCTTAATAAAATAATATTGAGCCTTCCAATCCATGAGCATGGTCTATTCCTCCATCTTTTAAGCCTTTACTTTCTCTCATCAATATCTTGTAGCTTTCAGTGTATAACTATTACACATCCTTTAGCAGGTATAGCCCTAAAATATTTCAAATTTTAATGCTACTGTAAATAATAATTTTTATTTTTTATTTCTGGCATATAAAAACCCCCATGCAACTAATATATACCAATAAAACATTTCACATATTTTTAGCTTATCTTTTCATTTCTTCTTTGACTCACGGATTGTTTCAAAGTGTGTTATTTTGTATCTGAATATTTGATAATTTTCCCTGAAACTTTTATGTTTTTGGTTTCTAATGTAACTCCATTGTGGACAGAGAACATATTTGTACAAACTAAATCCTTTTACATGTGGACACTGGTCCTATCACTTAGAACATGGACTCTTTTGGTAATTATCCCATGTGTACCATGTGTACTTGAAAAGAAGTATTTCCAGCTGTTGCTGGGTAGGGTTTGAAGTCAAGGTGGTTGATGGTGTTGTTTAAATCTTTAGCAGCCTAACTCTCACTTCTCTCTACTGTTTTGTCAACTATTAAGAGAAGGTTACAGTGAAATCTCTGGTGTGGTTGTGGATTTGTCTGTTTCTCTTTGCAATTCCTTCCGTTTTTGCTCTGTGCATTTTGAAGCTTTGTTGTCAGGTGCATAAATGTTTAGGATTGTTATATCCTACTGATGAATTGACCTCTCTGTCAGTATGAAATGACTCTCGTTTTCCCCCATAATGTTCTTGGTTCTGGAATCTACTTTGCCTGATATTAGTGTGCAGTGTTCTCTTACTTGATCTTAACATGGTAAGATTTACTTTTTTAAGTTTAAAATGCATTTCTTATAGGCAGCAAATCGGTTGGTCTCCTCAATTTAGGTGGTCCACCATACTCTACCTGTGTTTGCTCTCCTTGATCTACAACCTAAAATTTCCTTTGGTAAGAGGATGGGGCAAGCGTGAGACTCATTTTGTTTGTTCTGATCTCTTGGGCACAGACTTGGTCAGGTGAGAGGCCCTCCAGTGAAAACGTAAAGTCAGTCAGGAATCACTATGAGATGTTTTCCATGATGGCTGGTGCAGTGTTATCATCCGGGAGCAAGTGCCCCCTTTACACCACAGTCCTAGCCCTGCTTAAGGACGAGTGTCTTCCATTGCCTGATGCCCAGTGCCTTGAAAACCATTGAAAAATAAATTCTGTCTGGAGTTTTGGTTACTCATACTGGGAGGATGGATCCAGTCCCTGTTACACCAACATTTCAGGAAACAGAAGTGTGGACTTAAGCACTATGAGATAAAATCACAGTGTGAAACACAAATTGTTCAGGCCTCCTGTGAATTCTGTTAAAGGTTTATTTTCTTTCATTTAACAATCAGTGAACACTCACCATACACGATACTCCAGGCCAGGAATTGGGGTTAAAATCAGATACAGCACAGTGCCTGTCTAGCAGCTGCTGACAGCTGGCTTCTTTAGAACTATTAGGTTGGTCTTTTCATATTATATATTGCCTGTGACCAGGTGGACCTAGTAGAGGGAAGCCAGAGAGCCAGCAGCAGTCAGATCTAAAACCGAGAGATCGTCTCTGCTAACTCCTAAGCACATAGTGGCTCACAATCTCACTCATAGGCACACAGCAAGTCCAGCTAGTTGGTAGTAGTTAGGCAATCTGTAGACTATTTAGGACTCTACCCTGAATGCCTCCTTCCACTGCCAGTCTCCATGATCAAAACTCCTTCCTCAGCACCTCATTCAAGAGCAGGCACCACCACCCTTGCATCGTTCAGTGTTAGCTCAGAGCCAGCTACCTGTTAACCAAAGACGAACATGAGTGAGTGAATGAATTGAAGATGAACCTGTTCCAACGTTGAGTGTCCTCTGAGAGGCGACTAGGTTGCTACCAGCTGGGAAGAGTGGACAGTTAAGAATAAGCCCACAACTGGAAATCACAATGGCAAGGCAACGTGGTATAACACAGGAGTCTGTAACCATACTCAACCTTCTAACCTCTCTAAAACCTCCCATTTGGATGCTGGGAATCCAAATTAAATTCACCCTGTGGGGATGTTGGGTAGCAGAAGGGAGTGTGCAGGGGCCTGGGAAGGAATGGTAGGTCTTACAGCCCAGTCTCCTGGGAGCAGCAGGAGGGACTGGAGTGAGAGCTCCTGGAGGCAGAGGCCTGCACACAGAGTTCCGGGAAGATCAGGGCTGCACATTTGCACACAGCATGGAGGGTAGGTGGCTGTGCCCTGCCCACTCAGGACTCCCATCCACACTCCCTCTGGGAAGTCAATGCACTTGTAGACCTGCCTAAGACTAGGAACAGGACAGTTCGCATCACACAGGGATGACAAGAGGGAGCATTGCCCTAGTGGGGCTGGCCAGAGAAGTCTGGGTGGGAACCGAATGTCCAGCTGGGTAGAGCGGGAGATAGCTCCATGACATGGACTTCATTCCTGAGGCCAGGAGGCCTTCTAGCTCTGGCCTGCAGCAGGAAGAGGGCCGTGATAGCTGGGAGATGGTGACTAAAATCACAGGTGGCTTTGAAGTCCTGGTATGGCTGAGCCAGAGGGCCCAGGGCCCCATAATATGGTGGTGTTTCACCATTTTTACTGACATGAGCACAGGAGAGATCCAGGATGTCACGGTCTCAGCTCCCTACACAATGTGTCCTGTGTGTATACATATAATTACACGTAAATATATACACACAAAGGCATATATTTTTAAATATGTCTTTTGGCAGTATTGGAGTTTGAACTCAGGATCTCTTGCTTGCTAGGCAGGTGCTCAATACTTGAGCCACACTTCCAGCCCCTTTTTGCTTTAGGTTATTTTTCAGATAGGGTCTCCTGATTTTTGCTCAGGGTTGTCCTGGGACCATGATCCTCTTCAATATGTCTCCTGTGTAACTGGAATTATAGGCTGGCCTTGAACTGTGAACTCTCAATCTCTGCCTCCCAAGTAGCTGAGATTACAGGCATGAGCTAGCCAACAGGTGTGTTTTCTCCTGAAGGAGCTGCAGAGCTCAGGGCAGGGCCCTGGCCGAAGTCTGTGACATTGAGAAAGGGTTCCCTGAGAGGTTGTTGATTGTGACTGACATTGGAGTGAGTGCATGTGAGTGAAGAGTTAGGACAGCATGGAATTGAGAGGAAATTCTGTACAAGTTATAAGAATTTAGATTTAAATCTCAGCTTTGGCCTAACTTGCTGTGTGATGTTGGATAAGTCTCTCAACCTCTCTGAACCTCAGTGTTCTCAGGAGCAAAATGGACCCATTCTACTTTTCTAAAATGGAAAGGGTAAGATGTGTGTCAGAGGGATGTAAGAATTCCATTAAAAAAAGTGTCTATCCCTGGCTCAAGTGGTAGAGCACCTGCTTAGCAAGCATGAGGCCCTGAGTACAAATCCCAGTCCCACCCAAAAAATGTGCCTATGAAGGCTGTGGCAGTGTCTGTCTGAAGTAGACACTCGGTAGACGGCGTGCCAGGATGTGTTTGAGTCGTGTGCTTTTTCACTCTGGGAGACATTACTTTCAGGCTGCCTCCACCCCACTTTCCTCCAATCTTGGAATGTCTTCTCTCCTCTCCTCCCCCCTTCCTTGGGTGGACAGCTCTATTAGCAACCGTGGCCTATTTCCCCCTTGTCCTGAGCACTGATAATGAAGAGGTGGTTGCTGAGAGATGTCAGGATCCATTGGTGGCCCTCGTCCCACGTCTCTCCCCTCTCACTCCCTCTCAGCCTCCTTCCTTCCTCTTCTCACCCACTTCCCTCTCCCATCTTCCACGTTCAGGTTCTGAAAAGATGAAGAAATCAACAGAGTCCATGGCTGCCCCAGACAGGAGGGTGGTCTCCAGTCCCCAGAGTCCTGGCCAGGGGCTTCAGAGGAACACGGCCCCCTTGGGTCCCCTGGACGACCAGGAGCGGGAGGAGGCTGAGGAGCGGAAGTCCGGCCAGCGGGCCATGCTGAGGAAGGCACAGGAATTCTTCCAGACCTGCGACACTGAGGGCAAAGGCTTCATTGCCAGGCGGGACCTGCAGGTGAGAGGGGCTCACTAGAGCCACAGGGCATGGCCCTCCTGTGACATCCCTCACAGGCAAGGCCCCATCAGCTGCACCCTGGAGGGGTTTTCAGCCCAAACCCCACTGGGAGCCATGTATCCTGGGGCCAGGCCAGGCCCTTATGTGCTGTTGAACTTGGGCCATTTCCCTCCTCTGACTTCACAGCTCCCCAGGGTTGTGGGAAATGGGAAATGGTGATGGTGACACGAGGGACTTAATGAGGACACAGAGAAGGACTTTCTGAATCTCAAGGTGAAAGACGCCGGCTCCCTGCTTCTTGGTGACTCTGATGAAGTCACTTCTGTCAGGTGCAGCATGCAGACAGAGTCATTCCTGGAGGCCATCTTACCTGTCCCTGGACACAGGTCTAGAGAGACAGTGCACCCCACTGGCTAGCAGAGGGCTTGGCACACTTTCTAGAAAGGTCCAGAGTATCACTAGTGTCCATTTTGTGGATCAAATCGTCCCTATCAGTCCCTCAGTTCTGCTGCCATGGGCAATGCATAAGCAGATGAGTCTGCCCAAGAAACTTCATTTATGGACACTAAAATTGGGTTTTATAGAATTTCATGTGTTGCCAGCTATTATTCTTTCCTTGATATTTTTTTCAGCCACTTGAAAATGTGAAAAGCATTCTTAGCTCACTGGCCTACAAAAATAGCTGGTTTAGCCCAGAGGCATGGTTTGCCTATTTCACCACTCTTAAGGTGGTGACTTCTACCTTAAGAGTCAAAAAGTCCTTCTCGGTGTCTCTCTGAAGTCTTTCATACTGCAGTTGTGATGTCACATGTATGTGAGTGAATAAAAGGCAGGCTCTGCTAGAGCCCAATAAAGCAACCCTGTTTCCCAACCTTTGCACCCCACACTCCCTCCAGAGACCTTTGGAAAGGATGTGGCCTGTCCTGTTAGGAGGAAGAGCTGTGATGGTCAGGTTTTCTTCTCCTGTCCACGTTCTCAGAATACATTAAAGGTAGACAATGAGCTGTAGCTCCTCGTACCTGCTCATGTGTGGGAGCTGCAAGACATGGAAGCTAAGATGGCCTTGTGACATGATGACATCCTGGGGTTCCTCCTCCCACCCCCTCCCTGTGGTGTCTTCATGTTGTGCCTCAGCTGTTGCTCTGTCCACCATCACACGAACTGAGGGACAGACCTAAGGCAAGCACGTCTCAGCCCCTCCCCTCCTTGTTTTCAGCAGTTGACCTAAGTGTCTGTGACTGACACTCATCCCATGGTCCTAGTCCACCTGCAAAGCCAGTCTCGGGTGTCCTGAGGAGCGTCCTAACCAACTTCTTTCTGTGCACTCCATAATGGTCTTTTGTGGGTCTGTGGTAGTGGTGTTTGGTGGTGGTGGGTTCAGTGGCGTACTTACCTTTTGTGTACATGTGGTGCTGTGAGGATGCCAACACATACCAGGCAAGAGCTCTACCATTGAGCTATACCCCCAACCCTGCCTGCTTGACTTTTGACTTTCCCCTCTAGAAGCAAAGAAAAGGGGGCTGGAAGCATGGCTCAAGCAGTAGAGAACCTGCCTAACAGGATTGGAGGCCCTGAGTTCAAACCCCAGTACCACCGAGAGAGAGAGAGAGAGAGAGAGAGAGAGAGAGAGAGAGAAAGCACAACAGATCCTCTTCTACCCATATTCTTCAGAATTCTTCTCACTTTGCAAAGCAGAAACTCTGTTCCAACTAAACAATAAATCCCCTTTCAGATCCCCCACCACCACACATACACAACTCCGGCAACCATCACTCTATTTTCTGCCTCTAGGAATTTGACTACACTAAGTACTCTTTATATGTGAAATTGTGTAGTATTTGTCTTTTTGTATCTAGCTTATTTCACTTAGCATGTTGGAGCATGTGTCAGACTTTCCTTCCTTTTTAAGACGAAATAATATTCCACTATGTGTATATGCCCCATTTTTGTTTAACCATCTGTTGATAGACACTAGCATTACTTCCACATTTTGTCTAGTTGTGACAAACACTTCTCTGGATATGGGTGCCCAAATACCTATCAAAGTCCCTGCTTTTAAATCTTTGACCCAAAAAGATTATTGTCAGATCACATGACATTTCTGTCTCACTTTCTGAAGAAACACCATCCTGTTTTCCATAGTGGTCACATACTGGCCACAGTGTGATTTTAAGTGCAAGCCATCTGTTCTGCTTCAGAGATAAGAAAGTGCATTTCTGCCAAAGACAACACCTCCCAGTTGTCTCCAGCTGCCGCCATTCTTGTTTGTGTCCTTGAGGAAACACAGTACTGCCAAGAGAATGTCTGATGAAGATAGTTGCTGAGGGAAGTGGCTCTAGCGTCTGCTAGGTAAACTCTAGGGTTGCTGCTGAGCATTCTTGGGTTTTTGTTGTTGTTGTTTCTGGTGATATTGGAGTTTGAACTCAGGGCTTCACACTTGCTAAGTAAGCACTCTACCACTTGAGCCATTCCACCAGCCCTCAGCATTCTCACAATTCTCAGGACACACAGTCTCTTCCCCTCTACAGCCTAAGAGGTCAGCAGTGTGGAGGCTGCAAACCGCTGGTCTCTACCATGATCAGCCCACACCAAGTACATGGAGGCAGAGAGCAGAGCAGTGATAGATTCTGTACCACCCTTCCCAAAGACTAGGTGTAGCTAAGCCAAGCCAAGCCACAGGGAAGGAAGCAGCTGGTGCTGGTACACAGGCTCTGATGCCTGCACCAAGAAGGAGTGGTCATTTCTGGCCAAAAAAGATGGATCTCTGCTTTATTGTCTGAAGGGAGTTTCACATGAGCACATTTAAAGTGAGCAACTATGTGCTTTAACTGCATGAAGCATGGTACTGGGCTGGCAGTCAGAAAGGCACAGGAGTCCAGCTGGAGTGCAAACAGAAACCATCGTTTCTTTCTGAGCCCTCACTGCAGCTGCTCTGGTCCTGGACAACCCCAGGTCCTGAGACCTTGCTGCACATTTGTGGCTCAGCTGGTCAGGATCAGAGTCTAGACGGGTGCTGTGTAGAGACCAGTCCATATATCCTGCCATCACCCCCAGTCACACACTTCATTCATTCATTCATTCATTAAATAACCACCCCCAACTCTCCAAGTTCATTAACACCAGGCTAGATCCTGGGGACACTGCTGAGTAAAATCAGATGAGATCTCTGTTCTCAGAAGCAGCAGACATTCTCCAGCTGATATATAAAGCATGAACTGAGATGAGACAGGGGATGAGAGAAGTGAAATGTGGAGCCCAGATCACCTGCCCTGGCCTGCGGGGCTATGAAGGCCTGAATGAGGAAGTCATGCAGGGCTGAGAGAGAGGAGTTGAGCTCTGGAAACAGTGCAGGAGGTCTGGACATGAAGTAGTGTGGAGCCTGAATAGCTCAGCCATGGGCGGCAGGAGGGGGGCAGGCAGCCTTCCTCCCACTTTCCCTTCCCCTGCCTGCCCTCCCTGTGTGGGTTAATGAGTGCTATGAGGCAGACAGAGACTTATCCAGGGTGGGAGAGAGGAGAGAAGCAAGCAGACCTTAAACCTCATTCTGAGGGTGGTTCTGGTGTAGATGAGTAGGTGCAGAGTGGTAGCAGAAGTTAGGGAACTAGCGAGAGAAAACATTAGAAAACAGCCCTGCCTCCTTCTCTGCTTCAACCTCCCAGCCTGTTGCACAATGCAGTAGGCAGTCCTGTCCCCCTCTGCTCTGCTTATCTTAGTTAAAATTGTAGACAGCACCAGGTACCTGGGGGACCATAGCAGGATAAATTGATTGTTCATGACTCTGCAGGCCCTGGGAAGATAAATAAAAGACAATTATGCTTATTAAGACTAAAAGAGTTTTCAAGTAGAGCCAACAAAAAAGGTTAAATAACTAGGTGTGGTGCAGCTTGCAGAGAAGGCTGAACAGTCAACACCAATTTGCCAGGATGGGAAGAATTATCTGGAAGGTGCAAGTTTCTTTCCCCAACGTGGCTGAAAACAGAAAGAGAGATCAGGATTAAATGTGGGAGGGATTTATGGACTATTGTTAGATTCAAGAGAACCTGTCCTGGTTCACGTTACCAAGAGACAAGGAACCTGTGGAGAGGGGCAGGTTGATGGTCCTACTGACTTGCAGAACTTTTGTTCGGCTCATATCTGGCTCCAATACAGTGAGGCCACATTTTCTATTAGGTCCAGAGATTCCAGGCTGAGGAAGGGAAAGGGGTGACCTCCAGGAAAGGACTCTGACAGCTCAAGGTTTTATCCCCTGGGTGATGCCTTTTGTTTCAGATGGGCTGACTAACTTCTTGCTTGCAAAACTGACCCCTCCTACCTTGTGTCCTCTGGCTGTGGCTCTGACAGCTGCTTTATGGATTATTGACAAGCAGATGTGCTTCTAGGATCTTCACACTGCTCACATTCACCTTCCCTTCTTGAAAAACCCATTCATATTTAATCCAGTTCTTCCAGATGGCTTTCACATCCTCCCTCCTTCCACTTTGTAGTGTGTTGTCATCTCTCTTAATGCACAAACTTGACAAATGAAACTATGGCTATCAGCTAAAAGGTTGCCATAGGACCAAGCGAAGGGCTCTTGCAAGTATGCTCTGGCCTGTCACACCTGCCAGCTCTGTTTTACTGTCCAGATGGGTATGTAGCATTCCTCTTACAAAGCCCTGTGCTCACTGCCCTCAGCTGTCAGTCATGGCCACAGGAGCAGCTGCCCCTTGAGTTAGTGGGAGGACCAGGGATGGCATAATGACATAATGAACTCCCCTGGGGAGTCCTCTCTTGGAGACAGGTTGTTAGGGTACAAGAGGACACTTGCTCTAATGATGTGTGTTAGCTTTGGCCTGAGACTGTGGTGCATCAGGCAGAAGCCAGAGCTCAGCTCACCTCAGTCACTTTGCTCCTCCTGCATCTGCGGGTCCCTGTCCTTCCCTCCCTGCATGGGCTTATCAGCCCAGGAGTCATGCCGCATGTTTATTTAGGACCTCCTCACACCATCCTGTCCTGTGTCCCTTTGAAACACAGGTATGCGGGGAGGTGGGTGTTAATTTCTTAAGACTATGACTGTCAACATCTTGTCAGGAATTAGTGGTCAGCCAGAAGGGTCAGGAATGGGACAACTGACTCAGGTGGCAAGTGTGGGTCACTGTGGTGGGAGCTATCCAGAAAATGATCAGAGCTGAAGACCACAGTGTGGGTCCACAGAAACTTACAGGTGCACTGCCACGGCTCTGGAACAGGAGAGGCCTCCATTATGAAAGACCCGTGTCAACAGAGGAGGCAGCAACACACAGGGAAGGGGCTTGCACAGAATGGGAGGGAAAGACTAGAACTAACAACTGCAAGGACTGGGCTGACATTCAGCCCCCAAGTGCCTCAGTGGGCCTCTCCCCCCACCCCTCTCTCTGTCCCACTACTTTTGTTGAATGGTTTCTCTGTGCCAGGCACTGTGTCCTACATGTTGCACCCATGAAACTGTACAACACACATCACATGACTATTTTCCTACAGGTATTCAGACCTGTACAGCTTAGGTCCTTAACAGTGTTAAAAGTGTCAGCTTTGAAGTCAGACCTGCATTTGACTCCTGGCTATGTCCTTGCTGCCCATATGAACTTAGGGTAAGTCATTGAACCTCAAACTTCATCTGTAAAATGGGAATAATTAGTGCCTACCCTCAAAGGTTGTCATGAGAATTAAATGTAGATAGATAGATAGATAGATGGATAGACAGACAGATGCATAGATAGATAGATAGATAGACAGATGCATAGATAAAATAGATGCATAGATAGATAAATAGATGGATAGATAGATAGGTAGATAGATAAACTTATTTATAATTTCATTTAGCAAACTGTCTAGTGCATCAATGGTAGCTGTTCTAACATGCTGGGGAGAAGGAGAATGACAAAGAGTCAAGATGCAGAGGCTTGCTCCTGGCTTTTATGGACCTGACACACCCTGGACATCTTTCAACAGAGAGTCCTGAGCCCTGCTTGGCCACCAGCATGCTAACCAGTGTGGTCTGGGTTGCTTTCAGAGGCTTCACAAGGAGCTGCCCCTGAGCCTGGAGGATTTGGAGGATGTGTTCGATGCCCTGGACACTGACGGCAATGGCTTTCTGACCCTAGAGGAATTCACTACTGGATTTAGTAAGTTCTTCTGGGGACAGGGACCCCAGGGTTCTGAGTCCACCTAAAGCTGTGGAAGGTGCATCCTGGTCCCTCCCCATCTGTGGATCCTGTGGGGGAGCTTTCCTGCTTTCCTCTCAGGAGGCTGAGGGCTCTGGATTATCCAGGCCACCTGTCACATGCCCACCTGGACTGCTGACACCACAGTCCCTCTGTGCCCACAACTGTCATGGCCAGCTCCCCCACCCCACCCCTGTGCCAATTCCCCAGTCTGGCCAGTGCTCCAGCAGAAGGCTTCAAATAGCGGGGTAGAGGCTGTAATGAGAGCCTCAGCACCTCCTTTTCTACCTTGCTACACAAGAAAGTGAGGCAACAGATGGTTCATTCCAACCAAGTTTGGCTGAGACTTCAGAGATAAGGGATACCAGCTATCATGGACATTTCTAGAAGGTTTGAATAGACCAGTCGTTCTCAAGGCAACCAGCAGGAAGGAGACCAGAGATCCAGGAATGAGATAAAGACTCCAGATGCCAGATACCACCATCAGATCAGAACAAGCAATAGCAGACTTTCTCATCCATCTCCTTCCTGCAAGGGGTCATATGCTTTTCTGAGACGTATCTGATGCCTCTCTTGACCATCGGGAGCTTATAGTTGACTTGGGAGAATTAAGACAGATTGTTGTAACAGCAGGCAGTGTGTGTGTGTGCATGGAGAAAGTCACTCAGACACATGGACCAGAATGATGCTGGCAGGGGAAGGACATGGTGGTAATAGACTCGCAGACTGCTGGAGGACAAGGGAGGGGAAGGTCTTCTTGCTTAAGGAAGCAAGCAACAGAGACATGCGTTCTTCCTCCAATGCCCTGTGTTGAGCACCCACATCAGATGATCTGGCTGTAAGAAGATCGGACCTTAGAGGGTTGAGCACCACCCAGGAGCCATCGTCCCTGGTAGGCACCTACCTTTCCCACATTCTAGCATTTCTGGAAGGATGCTTATGAAAGTGGGAAAGACATGAACTCTGGGGCACGGTGCCCACAGACCTTTGCTCTAGGGACTTCCCTTTCACTTCTCCTGCAGGAGCCTCAAATGATTTGTAACACTGACGATTGTCTAATTCGGATCCTTGTGCTCCACACCCCCAGGTCACTTCTTCTTCAGCCAGAATAACCCAAATCAGAAGGAGGATGCAGCTGACCAGGTGGCCCGGCTCCGAGAGGAGAAGGTGTTCCAGTGCAGAGGGGATGAGGATCTGGGAGACATGGACCAAGATGAGGAAGTGCAGTTCCAGATGCTGATAGATAAACTTGGGGCCCAGAAGGCTTTAGAAGAGTAAGTGGCACAGTGACGTAGGGGTGGAGCCCAGCCTAGGGGTACTCATTCGTCTGTCCCATTAATTAATGGATCCACTTTTGCTCAGCCACAGTGCCAGTACCCTTGTTGGTGCTGCCAGTGACGACACTTGCTTCCGGCAGCCCGCCATCCTCAGGCCCTGTGGGTGCCAGTCCCTGCCTCTGCATTTTACGTACTTTCCCTTGGGGCATATTCCTTCTCCTTCTCTCTTACCCTCTCCATTTTCCTCTTTTCCTGCTGTATGTTATTATCGCAGACCTTTGGTTGCTCTTGACCTCCAAAGGGTGCCTCCACTTCAGAAGTCTGTGCCTGGCCTCTGCATTCTGGGCATTTTTCCTTCACTAAGGTTCCCTGGCACCATGGGCTCCCCAGCAGGGCCAGCCTTGTCCCCAGGGCTGGACTGCATCCCAGCCACCAGGAAGGTAACCCTTCATGCCTATTGCATTCATAGGCATATCAAACTTGCCCAGGAAGACTAGGGTGGGAATTAACCAGATTTCATCAGTTCACAACTTGGATAGTCACTGACACCACTGAAAATTTTAGAAGATTGGAACTTCAGGGGTTGGGTACAGTGGTGCACACCTTTAATCCTAGCTTCTTGGGAGGCAGAGATTAAAAGAATCAAGATTTGAGGCCAAACTGGGGGAAAAAAGTTAGTCAGACCTGTCTTAACTTAATCAAGCCAGGCTTGGTGGTATACACCTGTGATCCCAGCTATGTGGGAGGTGTAGATAGGAGGATTGTGGTCCAAGGCCAGCCCAGGTCAAAAGCATGAGACCCTATCTGAAAAATAATTAAAGAGCTGGGGGGCATGGCTCAAGTGGTAGAGCACCAGCCTAGCAAGCTTGAGGCTGTGAGTTCAATACCCAGTACCACCAAAACACAATTTTATTTTTCCAAAAATAAAATCTGGAATAAAGAGACACATGGACTTAAACCCTGGCATTTAAAGAAAAGTAAAACAAGGTAAGATCAACGAGGATGAGCTGAGAAGAGATAAGATAAAATAAAATAAGTCTGGGCTGGTGGAGTGGCTCAAGTGGTAGAGCACCTACCTAGCAAGTGTGAGGCCCTGAGCTCAAACCCCAGTACCACCAAAATAAATGAATAAATAAATAAAGTCACACAATGGTGTGACCATCATGGAATACCTTATCTCCCTTTTGCCAGTCCCTTTATTCCCTTGGCTTTGGTCTGTAGGCCTTGGGTTGGGTGTGTGTTTCATGCAGGGTGGGGATAGCCTAATGAGTAGGGCTGGTGTTTCCTAGGTTTGGGAATAGAAGGGACCCTGGCAGAAGAAAATAAAGAGTACATTTCAAAGACGGGGGCTACACACAATTTGCAGGCCAAAGCTCTGTGAATTATCCAGCAAGTAGCAGGGTAGACTGTGTCAGGAAAGAGAGGACAGGCCAAGGCCTAGGAGGCAGCCAATGGGAGTCCTGGGCACTGGCAGCCATGGCGGGAGCAGAAGCTCTCTGGCAGCCCAGGAAGGGCTGGTGCAGGCTGGACCAGCATGGGATGGAGGGAGAAGAAAGTGGAGGGTACAGGTGGTAATGGGAGAAGCTCATTAGTCAGACACCTGATTCAGCTTCATCCAGGACAAGAAACCAGAGCATAGCGACCACTGCCAGGAACCCTGTGAAGCCTCCTGCTTGTGGCAGGGTGGGTATAGCAGTGAGCCAGGACACTGTCATGAAAGAAAGGAACTCTCCATGTGCCCCTCGCTTCCTGGATAGTCACCTTCCTTCAGGGCTATCAAGGCCAAGTTCACAAATGTTACTCTGAGGACATAGCAAAGGCCTGTGCAGAACTAAGTCAGAATAAAACATTCTGAAGAAGGTCTGTAAAGGTTGGTGCACAGAGGACGGTAGCCAGTGACTCCATTCCCACTGACGCTGCCACAAAGGAGGAGCTCCTGACCACAGCGCCCCAGATAAGGAACAGCAGGCTGGGAGGGCTGTGGACATGTCTAAGGATTTTGGCCATCAGAGTGGTTTGTTTGTTCCAGAATCCGAGAGATGGGTTGACTGACCACCGAGATCCCTTCTCACCTACACTCTTATATCCACTCACAAGGGCCAACCTAGATGTACCCAGAAGTGACAGATTGGACATCTGGACTCCCAGCTTTTCATGGAGGTCTGATTGACTGAGTGACTTGGCAGCTTAGTGGTCTCTGGCTTCTTTTTTCATCAAAAGTTGAAAGGCTTGGCCCATCTCCAAAAATCTGGAGTGAGGTGATGTGACCATGACCTAGTGATTCAAAGAGTGTTGGAAGAGGGCCAGGTGTGTCTGGAAATCTCACCAGGAGCTTTAAGAATTGGCTGCTGTGCCAGGCTCCCATGAGAACCTGGCAAATATGGCCAGATAACCTAAGCTAGCAAGGTGGACCTTGATTTTACAATGCATGTAGTACATGAGGGTGTCCGCTCATTTGGCTCTGTTACAAACTTCCCTAGACTGGGTACTTTATAAATAACAGAAATTTCTTTCTCACAGTCTGGAGATTGGAAGCTCAAGAGCAAGGTGCCAGCAGATTTGATGTGTGGTCACTTGTCCATTTTCTCCCTATATTCTCCAGGGTGGAAAGGGCAAATTGAGGCTTTATTTTGGTGCTACTGGGGGTTGAACTCCAGGCTTTGAGCTTACCACACAGCTGCTCTACCACTTGAGCCATGCCTCCAGCCCATTTTTCTATTAGGATCTCACTTTATGCCAGGGCAGCCTGGGCTCCAATCCTGCTATTTATTCTTCCCTCTTAGCTGGGATGACAGGAGTACACAACCACATCAACTTTTTATTAGTTTGAGATGGGGATCTCACAAACTTTTTGCCTGGGCTGGCCTCCAACCATGATCCTCCTGATCTCTGCCTCCTGAGTAGCTAGGATTACAGGCTTGAGCCACCGCACCAGGCTTCAGGCCTCTTTTAAAAGGCAGTAATCTCATTCATGAGAGCTCTATCTTCATGTCCTGATCACCTTCCAAAGTTCTTGCCTTTTTATACTGTCACTTTGGGGGCTTGGGTTCAACATATGAATGGGGGAGGGGTAAGCATTCAGACACAGTAAGAAGCAGGGATGGGAGGTCATCATGATGTCTCTAATCCTTTCTGCCATCTACATTTTACCCATACAGTGAAGTAGACACCCAAAACATGGTGTGTCAGGGGAAAATGGAACTTGCTCTGGAAAACAGAGAGCCTCCTGATGTCCCTCCTCTTGCCTCCCATATTCCTTCATGGCGTTCAATACAGTGCTAGGTTTATAACAGATGTTGAGAAATACCTACTGGGTGGATACACGGGTGAACGAATGGATGGATGGATGTGGGTGGGTGGATGAATGGGTGATGGATGGAGGGATGGTGGGTGGGTGGATGAACAGGTGATGGATGGATGGGTGAATGGATAGATGGATGGTAGATGGGTGGATGGGTGAATGAATGGATGGATGTGGGTAGGTGGATGAATGGGCGATGGATGGATGGATGTGGGTGGGTGGATGAATGGGTGATGGATGGAGGGATGTGGGTGGGTGGATGAACAGGTGATGGATGGATGGGTGAATGGATAGATGGATGGTAGACGGGTGGATGAGTGAATGACTGGATGGATGTGGGTAGGTGGATGAATGGGTGATGGATGGATGGGATGTGGGTGGATGGATGAATGGGTGATGGATGGAGGGATGTGTGGGTGGGTGGGTGGATGGATGAACGATGGATCGATGGATGATCTCAGTGAGTAGGTGGACATTTGGGGTGGAAGCAAGAAAGGCTGGAAATGAAGGAGCAAGGGAAGAATGGGGTAAGGGAAATGAGACAGAGGGAGACAGATGATCAGATACAAACCAGAGATGGGTTCATTTCTCAGTCGGCTTCTTTTCTTCTGGATGCAGTGTCATCTGTGTCCCAAGAACACTGCTATCGTGGCCCTATGAAATGTCACTTCTGAGGAGAGTTTCTGAAATGCAGTGCTTGCTATATAGACATGAAAGACTTTATTCTTTAGCCTTGACGGTTCCTGGTCAGATCTCGGAATTTGGTTTTAGAATTTAATGGAGGACAAGGACTGATGGAGTAGCTCAAGTGATAGAGTGCATGACTAGCATAAGCCTAGCAAGCATGAGGCCCTGAGTTCAAAGCCCCATGACCAAGAATTTATTGGAGACAAAGCAGATTTATGTTTGGTTTATTTCAATGATTGGCCATAGATTTTTGAGTTCAGAAAGGGAGAGCAGGGCCCAGGTATGCAGCTACTCCTTGTCCTCCCATAGGTGACTGGAGTGGCCCCTGTCTTTATACTGGGTGCACATGTTCTCCTATGTGCCTGTTTCTGGGCAATACTTCTGGCCCATCACTCTGCATCTTGTCTCTACCTGCCTCCAAGTCCCCGACTCCCCACTTGTCTTTTCATCTGTGTACCCACATCGTTCAGACTTGCTTCTTTCCCTCCTTCTGCCTGCCAGTCACTCCTGGTGTCACCAGCCCCAGTGGGGTGCTGCATATTCTCTTCCCTTCCCTGCAGTAACAGTCACATCTTACCATCCATCAGATGGCATGTCCTTACCTCTCAGCGGTGAGGACATTCTTCCTGCAGGCGACAAGCTCTTTCCTTTAGCAAGGTACGGTTTGTCCTCACCCATGCTGGCTCTGGCCTCCTCTCTTCTCCCTGGCATTTTGAAATGCTCAGATGCACATTGCTGCACGGCCAGCCCACGGCGACAGATGTGGAGAAGGAAACAGCAGAGCGAGGTGGACAAGGGGACTGGCACAGGAGTCACACCGTCCTGGCATGACCCCAGACCCTATCGTGAATCAGAGAGTGGTCTTAGTGCACCACAGCTCCCTCTTGATCTGTCCCCTCTTGAAGGTGACACAGCACCTACCTCCCAGGTCACCATGAGAAGGCAATGGTCTGAGATACACACAGCATTTGCACAGCAAGCACTGGGGAAACGTCAGCTCCTGCCACCTTTATGAGGCTGCTTCCCATCTGGGACCCTCACGTGTCCCACAGAGCCTCACCTCTCCACCCCACCCCCATTAACACCCCTCCTTGTCTCGCAGCGAAAGCGACATCAAGCAACTTTGGCTACAGCTGAAGAAGGACGAACCCCACTTACTGTCAAACTTTGAAGATTTCCTGACTAGAATCTTCTCCCAGCTCCAAGAAGCCCATGAGGAGAAGAACGAGCTGGAGTGCGCCCTTAAAAAGTGGGTACCCGATCTTAGCCACTCTGCGCCTGTGTGCCAAAAGCGGAAATACGGGGCGCAGGCACTTTGTTGTATTTTTCCACTGGCACATTGTGTGATGCCTTCCCGTTGCGGCCGACCGAAGTGGAGTTGGAGCATCATAATATGTCTACTTTTAGTCCTCACTCACATTTATTAGGCACTTACTATATACCAGGTGCTATTCTAAATATTTTATATACAACAGCTCATTTGAATCTCACAACAACCGTTGGAGGTAGGGACTATCTGCTAGTACCCACATTTTACCAAGGAGCAGATGGAGACACAGAAAGGTTAATACACCCCAGAATGCACAGTGTGTTAGTGGCAGAGCCAGAATTCACAGCCACTTGGCCTGGTGCCCAAGACCAAAAGGAAAAGCACTGTGACTGCCTCTGGGCAGTGAGGACCCAGCATTCTGGGCCTCCCCCGACTCAGAGTGGCCCTTGCTTTGTGGAGGTGATGTGTTTATAAGGGGGTCCAGGAACTGGCATCTCCCACCACCCTCTCCTGTCTTGGTCTCACCTCTCCTCTGCTGCTTCTTCGCCTCCACAGCCTCTCAGGAGTCAGGACCAGCCTCCCCTCCCCACCCCCCCAGGGACCGCTGCAGAACTGGACCAGCTCAGCATAAGCAGGTGCCCCACAGGATTAGGACAGGCCCCCAGGTGCTGTGTCCTCCTGAGAGCCACATGTGGCCACTCTTGATGTGTGGCTCTGTGCTTGCCCCCAGCCATGTAGCACGTGTTTCTGCAGTGAGCTTGCATATTTGGGGTGTGGAATTGCATGAGCTGTGATGAAGGGCAGGTTGCCACCCTGGAGGGGAAGCCCAAAGCCAGGGCTGGGTGGGACGGCACTGATGCATGCTGATGGGACACTGCCCACCCTGGCTCCTGCCAGACCTCTCCTCAGGCCCCCAGAGATTCTCTTGCATTCTGTGGGACCCTCCACAAGCCTCCAGACTAGGATCCCATGGACCACCGCCTGGTGCACACACCTCTGAGCAGGGCTTACCCTAGGAGGCAGTGTTGCAGGGACTGCATTGAGTGGCCCTGGACGAGGCACATTGGTCCTGCTCTGGGAAGGACAACGTAAGTATGTGACCTGCTGGGCAGACCCTCTAACCACATGGTACCCTGAGCTCAGCTCTTCTCCTTGCCTGGTGCCTTCCCCCAGCAACAGTAAGGGTAAGAAACAAGTCTGGGAAGAAGGACTTTTAGGACTCTGTGTTCTGGGGAACTTGAGGCCATGCTTGCTGGAAGATTCTTTTTGTTTGTTTTTTTGGTGGTACCAGGGTTTGAACTCAGGGCCTTGCACTTGCTAGATGAGCACTCTACCACTTGAGCCATGTCCCCATCCCTTTTTGCTTCAGTTATTTTTCAGATAGGGTCTTGCACTTTCTGCCCAAACTGGCCTCAGACCATGATCATTCTACCTCTCCCTCCTGAAGAGCTGAGATTACAGGCAGGCATGAGTTACCATGCCAGAGCTGTTACAGAGAACTGTTAATAGCATTCCAGGGAGAGACACCCACAGATCAGGGAAGGGAAGGATTGAGGGCATAACTCGGATGTAACCTTTAGTTGACTAAGCCATAGAATTTAGTTGACCAAGCTTGAATCTTAGTTCCGCCACTTAAAGGCTGTGCAGCTTAGGCCAAGTTACCTAACCTCTCTGAGTTTCAGCTTCCTTATCTGTAAGATAGGCAAGGTGATAGAATCCATCTTGCTGAGCTGTGAGCGTTAAATGTGATCACGTGTGTAAGCATTTGGAGCGCTGCTTGCATACAAGCAATCAGTGAATGTCAAAAGAATAATAATTACTGTCAGAAATAAGTATATTGTCAGTCTTAAGAGGTTTGTCTGGCTGAAGCAGAGTCTGAGCCTTGCTATGATCAGAGGCAAAGTTGGGAGAAATTTTTAGGCTTCTTGCCAGCATGGGGTGGCAGTGGGTTGTGTGGACCAGCAGCCTGGCAGCACCTGGACATATCTGAGAGATGCAGATTCTCAGTCCCACCCACCTTAGCGAGCTCTGTGGGTAGCTGGAGAAGGCAGGCAGGGAGCCAGGAGATCTGGGTTTGAGTCATGTGTGACTGGCAAACTGCTGGCTCTGTGACCTTGCTCAAGTCTCTTGGCATCTCTGAGCCTTTTCCCATCTGTAAACAGAGGAACCTCAATTCGTTTCCCACCCTGATCTCAGCGTTGGTGACCTGAAGGAGTCACAGCAAAGCCAAGGGGCCCCTCCCAGAGAGGGGGGGGTCTTCTGTCCTCTAAGGAGGGGGACTGTGGCCTGAGTGGGGGAGGGAGAGTTACCCAGCCAGCTCTGGAATCTTCTCCACAGGGCCCCCTGCTGCACCATGCTCCTGCAAGGAGAGAGCAGTGCTTCTGATTCCTGGAGAGCCTCTTAGCCCTGACATCCATCTTGAAGTGCTCAATGCCAAGTGCTTGGCCCTAATTTAGTAATTGATTTAAAAGTTCTTGAGGTGAAAGTCAAGGCCACTCTGGGCTGTGTGTGCAAAACTGTCTGAGCCAAAGCTTCCAGCCCCTTCTATAGTCAGCATCCCTGCCAGCTACACCTGCCCTGGCCAGTTGATCGAGGCCAACCCCTGGCCAAGAGTGAAGATCCTCACTGAGTTCCCCATCAGCCTCGTCTCGGGGGTGTTGTCTGGGCGCAAAGCTGGAGGACTGCAGGTGGAGTGGGAAGAGCACCTGGCGTAGGAGATGGGAGGACTGGAGTTCTTGCCCAGGATAGCCACTTGTCAGCTGTGTGAGGTAAAGCAACTTCCTTTACCTCTCTGGTGACATGAGCGAATAGGATTGGTGTTTCTCAGACCTTTTGTGATTGCGACTCCCCAGAACAAATGCCTTTTACTTTGCAATCCCTGTACACGCGTATGTATGTATAACCAAAAGAAAACTTTGTGTACAGATACTTTCCTTCATTATGGGTGGGACTTAGGTTTGTATTGGAGACTTTTTATTCTCTCTTTTTAAAAAAAAAATGGTTGGCCACATCTTGCTGGTGAACCAGGTGATCTTTAAGGTCTATATGATTGATAGCTTCCAAGAAACTAGAAATCCCAATAGGGTGTGGAATATTTAAATGAGATTCTTTGCAGATAACCTAGGTTGAGAGTAAGTGGTTCTGAGACATCCTTTAGAAATTCGGGAGCCAGCGGCTCGCACCTGTAATCCTAGCTACTCAGGAGGCAGAGATCAGGAGGATCGCCATTGAGACCAGCCCAGGCAAATAGTTCTGCAAGACTCTATCTCAAAAAAACCCTTCACAAAAAAAGGGCTGGTAGAGTAGCTCAAGGTGAGGCCCTGAGTTCAAACCTCAGTACCACAAAAAAAAAAAAATTGGGCTTAGAAGTTTGCATTTCTTTTGGGGTCGGGCATAACCAGGCTTTAGAGAGGAATTTGAAAAGGTCTTAGAATAACTGATTTAGGAAGGAGTCTGAAGGAATCTCAGAAGCAGAGTCCTGGGGACCTGGCAGAATGTCTTCCAGGCTCCACCACAGGCTCCCTTTGCAGTAATAAGCGTGACATTTCCACCCTACCCAGAAAACAAGCACTTATTGCTGACCATGGAGATGACAGTGCAAGTTATGGCTGCTGTGTGTCCCTTCCTAGACTGGGCACCAGGGGGAATGCCATCCCCATGTTAGCAGTAGGTAGCATTTAGCAAGCACTCACTGTGTGCAGGTTCTGAGTTGGAAAAGTAAAACAGTCACAATCCTTAAGGAGCTTAGGCTCAGCTGGCCAGCAGAGCTCACACTCAGAGGAATTCAGCACTGATCCCTGCTTAAAAACATCAGATCATGTAGCCATCCACAGTGGCCACTTCTGTTTCCTTCCCTTTTACAAACTGCACACCTCATTTCTTTTCATTTCTTCCATCAGGGCCCAGGGAAAATGAGGCTGACCTCTGGGGATGTCTGGCCTTCACCTGGGAGGGACAGGACAGGATGCCACCAAGGTGGGTGGGTTCTTGTGGAAACTCTTGCCCTCGATGCAACCTCAGAATGTTCTGGGGCATTGTCAGAAATAACCAGTGCCCACCATGGATGTTTTTAAACTGACTATTGGAAATAGCAGAAACCAGTGTAGTAGTATCAGTCCCCTAGGGCGTGTCCTGGGTGAGGCTCCTGAGGACAATGTTTGTGATGTGAGTCCACTGGGAAGTATCCACAGCCCCACAGGGCAAGATGGAACACAAAGTCAAAGCCTTTAGTGCCTGTGTTGGGCTTCCAGTGAGATATGCTCTCTGAGGAGGGGATGTTCCATGGCGTCTGAGCCAGTCTCCTCAGCATTTCTTCCTTGGGAAGAAATTCAGAGCACTGTGCATTTTGCACGAGGGACATAGACAGTTTAAATATTAGGAAGAACTTCTGGCCATCAGGATTAGGATTGTATTTACCATGGAGAGCACTCTTTTACCTTTTATGGGGGGAAAAAAAAACAAAACAGGCTGAAACCTCCAGGGACCTTTGCTGGAATCATGGGGGGACATTGGCGTCCCACCCCATGGATTCCCAGCTCACTTGGTCTCAGTGGGAGCTCCAAGTCTGCACTTTTAAAGCATCAGGGAGAGGATAAGTCACACTGGATCTGGGGCAGTCCTGGAGCTCTCTGAAGGAAAGAGCTTTCCAGATCACAGGCCAGTTCAGCTGAGCTGCCCAGCCAGTCTCAGCGGCCTGGGAATGCCGTCCAGCTGCCTGTTTGGCATCACAGGAAGACCACACTGGCCTTGATAAGCTTGGCCATGCTTCTTGTGCCCTCGTCAGACTCAGTTCCTCACCCGCCCAGTCTTGCCTTGTGCTTCTGATTCTGGCCACAGGGACCCTTCAACTGCGGCTCTGCTCTGCCACTATCCAAGCCCTTCCTGCCAAGAGTGAGTCCCCTGGGCTCCACGAGGGGACGCATGTGGCTCCCAGACAGACAGGCAGCCCATAATGACAGCCCACCCTGGTCTCTGTGGTG